TTTTTTTTTTTTTTTTTTTTTTTTTTTTTTTTTTTTTTTTTTTTTTTTTTTTTTTTTTTTTTTTTTTTTTATTGAAAACTACCTAATACAGTTTTGTTTTGTCTCAAGATTCTTACTTTTCCCATTCCAGATGAAAATCTCATAGCTTCGCCCCTGTTTGATTAGAACTGTTATGTTTTAAGATTTCATATTGATGATCTATGACGATAGTTTTGTTTTTATGGGACTTTATACACTCTAACATGATGATTTAAACGTATGGATGGCCTCTTTATTATATATATATATATATATATATATATATACATATGGTCGTCAATTTATAGTATTTCTGATAAATTTTCTGACTAGTGTTTGTCTAATTTAGTCGCATACCTATACTCTTATCAGGTTGGTTTACAATATATGGCCGGAGATATATGTGGAGGCAATGCTCGCTGTATTGCTATGCTTCATGCCTTTCAACAGGCCATCAAAGACTACTCAACTCCGCCACAGAAATCTCTGGGTAGAGATTTAACTGCAAAAATTGGTGGCTATGTGTCATTCTTCAACGAGTGCAGGCCACTGTCTGTTAGCATGGGAAATTCAATTAGGTTTCTGAAGAACCGCATTGCCAAATTACCAGTGAATCTTCTGGAATCTGAAGTAAAAGCTACACTTTGCTCAGATATTGATCGCTTTATCAATGAGAAGATTATCATTGCAGATGAGGTCATAGTTAGACATGCTGCTACTAAAATCAGGGATGGAGATGTTCTTCTCACATATGGATCATCATGTGCTGTAGAGATGCTTCTATTATATGCACATGAACTCGGAAAAGAATTCCGTGTTGTGGTGGTGGATTCCCGACCAAAACTGGAAGGGCAAGCATTGCTTCGTAGGCTAATAGCAAGCGGCCTAAAGTGTACCTACACTCATATAAATGCTATTTCTTACGTGATGCACGAAGTAACACGAGTTTTTCTGGGGGCTGCTGCAGTATTGTCTAATGGAACTGTATATTCTAGAGTGGGAACTGCAGGTGTTGCCATGGTTGCTAATGCATTCCATGTGCCAGTCTTAATCTGCTGCGAAGCCTATAAATTTCATGAAAGGGTACAGCTTGACTCAATATGTTTCAATGAATTAGGTACATATTGTTATGTCATCTTCTCTCTTATTTCCTTCCAGAAGAGGGTAAAGGGACAATGTCTAAGCATTTTGAAATTTCCTGCAGGTGATCCAGATGCTATCTCAAAGGTCCCAGGAAGGAAGGATGTTAATTATCTAGATAATTTGACTGCTAAAGAACAACTGCAATGTCTAAATTTAATGTAAATCAACCAACATATTATAATCAGTCATTGTACCTCAAAAGTGTTGCATTCTAACTTTGTCTTGTACTATTTCAGGTATGATGCTACACCTTCAGATTATGTCTCAATGATTGTCACAGATTATGGCATGGTAAGCTTTGCTCAATCACTATTACTCTCTTTCTGTCTCAGGCACTTGTTTAGATACATATTATAATCAGTTATTGTACCTCAAAGGGGTTAAGTTTTGAGTTTTGGCTTCTTTGTCGAAGGAAGCCGAAACTCATGAGATTGATGCTTCTGATCCTTGGCTCATTCAGATGAAGGTTGAAATTGAGATAATTAGGTGGTCAAGCATCTAGGTTCTTTATTGTTGACTTCTTCTTTTCACGTTGGAAAGCAAACCACCTTTTGGGATATAAGTTCTGTTTGGTTAAACAAACTACGCTCTAATCCTTTCACTGTTATAAGATCATACTCATGTCCATTATGAATGCCACTTTGCACTGTCGTCTATACTCTTATTTGGATGATTGAGTACTGCTGATTCTTGACATTCCAATGGTCAGAATTGAGAAGGTAGTTTTGGGTTTTGCAGTCTTGAGTGAAACTTGTTTTCTTATTGTTCTGAACTGTAGATCCCGCCTACAAGTGTACCCGTGATCGTACGCGAGTATCGGAGAGAGCACCTGTGGATTTAAGGACTTCATTTGTAAGGAAGCTTATTTTTGCAAGGATGAATCATAGATGTTTGTTGCCGAAGCATGCTGCCAGAAGTTTTTACATTCAAAATCTGCAACTATATTTTAATTTTTAGTAAACTAACGGTTAGATAAGAGTGTGATTGTTGCTTCTCCTTACACTTTTCCAAGCGTGCTTTTTTCTGGGAGAATGTATTATGGGTACGGTTTGAAAGTCGTCGTCAATAATGTCAATGAAAATGTCGATATCTTGAAATTTATAGAATGGTTTGAATTTATAAATAAAACTTTAATTATTGCTTAACTAGACTATAAGTGGCTATTTAGATTGAATATTATGATTGTTGATAATGTACTATAAGTGAAATTTTCATAATTTAATTTGGTTGCTTTCCCAAATGGCCTTTGCTTGGAAGCCACGAGCTAAAAGACAGCACAAACACCTTCATCATAACAAGTTTGGGTATGCGATTATTTAACACTCAATCCCCACTAATGTAATTAATTATCATCTTTCCGATTGGAAGCACACACATCATGAAGTTTTGCTTCTCATTTAATAAAAATAAAAAGTGATTCTTTTATTATTGGTATCAAATTTTGGTGTCAAGCAGTGACTTGTATATGTGTAAGAGAAGAGCTCGAGCATCGACATGATGCTATGTCCTGCCATCCACTATATTGTCTCACTATAAGTCTGGTTGACCTTGAGTAAGAGTTTTGTATACCTTTGTGTGGGGACAAACCCCGTGTTTATATTACATCTTCGTGATAGAACATTTAGATTTGTATGATAGGAAAGACCCTCATCTTGCATCGTCATTGATCATTGCTTCTGATTTTGTCAAATGACGACTGAAGCATATCATTATTTGAATAGGTCCGAATCAATCTGAGCCAATGTATTTGATGGGTCTATGTGGGGTACCAGGATGGGAGGATTGAATAGAGATTTCTACACTTTGTGAACCTTTGGCAATGCTCCTTCCCTAAGAAGGCGGGGTGAACTAAAATGGAGACGAACCGGAATAACGTCCGATCTTGTTTCTGAATTGAGTGGAAATGTTCTTGGTTCTAAAAAAGAAGGTAAGTCAGAAGAGACTTGAAGTTTAGCCTATTTATTCCGTCCAAAACATTTATACTTATTTATAAATAAAGAAAAGATCAACTAATAATTATTTGCTAATTCCCCTTGAATTGCTTTTACTTGGGGGAGAAAACTCAAATGAAGTTTAATATAACATAATCATACAAAATTCTAAAAGAATTCCTCCATCATAATATATGATCTAAGAAGTTTCAATCACCGCCGTTCATTTTTTATCATCAACTAATGGCATCAACGGTAAGAAATTGAGATGTATAGTAGTTGATGCACCTTAGCTTCACCCTAAAACTCCACTTCTTTTGAAAAAGATTTCGTCTTTAATTATTTCAAATTTCATATAATTAAAGCGCGGAGGAGTAATCCAGTGCGGTCACAAACATTCCATTTCGAAAGGCAACAACCCGTTTGAATCTGAACGCAAATTTTATGACCGTTACGAACTTATGGATTCAAATTTTTGCAAGGCAAAAATGTGTACCGCCACTCCACTCATTGCTTCATCCACTCCACCCTACCACCATAATTTCAAAACGCCACTGTGGGACGGAGACTGGAAGAAGCAAAAAAGTGGAGTGCCCCATTCACCTAACTTCAAAAACTGATTTTCCCCGCCCCACTACCAGCCGTCCATCACCACAGATTAACGGCTCAGATTCTCTACCATTAATCTTCGTTTCCCCCTTGTCTTCTTCCATAGTTCAACTTTCGTGAGCTCGGTTCTTCAGTTTTGCTACTTCTGTGGACAATCATCATTTTCCCGCAGAATTTTTCACTTTCCGGGAAATTTTCTCGAAAAACGTTTGAAAAATCGACAGATTTTCGAACTGGGTCAGTGGGATTTTCTGGGTATGTTTGGGCAGTGAGAAAATCAAAGAAGAATGCCTGTTTCGACTCGGTCTCAGATCATGAACGAGGGCCAAAATGAAGCAAGTTCATGTCAAGAAGATAGAAAGCAACTGAATCTTCCACCTAGAAATCTTCACCATGGATTGAAAGAGAAAATGAAGGCATTAACCCTTTTGTACGAGCAGCAGAAGCTTGCTTCTGCAGCTCTCAAGAGGTCATCACCAAAAGGGGAAGATCTAAGATTCACAACGCATCCAAGCGTGGAGCTAAAGGGTTGTTGTAAGAAAGAGGTGAAAGAGGCGAAGCTTGAGAATGTGATGAGAGAAAATGCAATGCCTAATTCAACTGTTACAAGAACTTACGTTCTTCCCCAACCGCCGATGGCCGATGCAAAGGAGAATGTGGGGGTTGGAACCGATCGAATTGTCGGGTTTTCATGCTCGAGAAAGGCGAGCGAGTTGACGAGTGTAGCGAGGAAGTTGTCGTTAGGGAACTCAATGGCTGTGATGGAAGAGAAGGAGAATGTGGGGTGTAAGAATATACAAGAAATGGAGGAATTTGGGAGTTCTTCAGAGAAGGAGAGTTCTGGGAAAACCCGGATTTTGGTGTTTGTGAGGCTAAGGCCGATGGGTAAGAGGGAAAAGGAAGCGGGATCGAGGTGTTGTGTTAAAATAGTGAATGGAAGAGATCTTTATTTGACAGAGTTTGCTAATGAGAATGATTATCTGAGGCTGAAGAGGCTTCGTGGACGCCATTTTACCTTTGATGCCTCTTTTCCGGACACTACGAATCAGAAGGAAGTCTATTCCACCACGTAAGTTAAATACAAAAGAGCTTGTATTTCACTCATTTCTATTGCATTTTAAACCTTAATATGTAACCCTTCAAATGGGTATCAATTTGAATGAGCAGGACAGCAGAGGTTGTAGAGGGAGTATTACAGGGAAGGAATGGGTCTGTGTTCTGCTATGGAGCCACTGGGGCTGGAAAGACCTACACAATGCTAGGAACGGTTGAGAACCCTGGAGTTATGGTTTTAGCTATCAAAGACCTCTTCACAAAGATTAGGCAGAGGAGCACCGATGGGAACCATGCCGTTCACCTCTCTTATATTGAGGTCTACAATGAAACAGTCAGAGATTTGTTATCCCCCGGAAGGCCATTAGTCCTCAGAGAAGACAAGCAGGTCTGTCATCTCATCTATGTGCTGTACATTGTATTTGTGAGATCCCACATCGATTGGAGCAAGGAACGAAACATTTCTTATAAGGGTGTGGAAACTCCTATCCGTAGAAGACGCATTTTAAAACCTCGAGAGAAAGCCCGAAAAGAAAAACTCAAAGAGGACAATATCTGTTATAAATGGTATCAAAGCTAGATACTGAGCGGTGTGCCAGCAAGGACGCTGGTCTCCAAGAGGGTGGATTATGAGATCCCACGTCAGTTGGAGAGGGGAACGAAGCATTCCTTATAAGGGTGTGGAAACCTCTCTCTAGCAGACACGCTTTAATACATTGAGGGGAAGTCCGAAAGGAGAAGTCCAAAGAGGACAATATCTGCTGGCGGTAGGCTTGAGCCGTTACTGGACCACTAAACTAGGAGAGTTTGAACGATTACATCCCATTTGAATCATATGAAATCTTCATTATCTTGTTTTTTTTAATGGAAAATTTCTTCATTACTATTCAGCTAAATGGTTATTCCGATACTCCAGGGCATTGTTGCTGCTGGTCTTACACAATACAGAGCTTACTCCACAGATGAAGTAACATTCTAACTCCCTTATAGTTTTGAAAGTTTGATATTTTATGAAATGGAGAAGGGGAGCTTCAAATTTCTATTGGATTCTGCCTAGGTGATGGCGTTGCTTCAGCGGGGAAATCAAAACCGCACAACCGAACCAACCCGTGTTAATGAAACTTCTTCACGGTCTCATGCTATACTTCAGGTAACAGTTGAATACCAAGCCAGAGATGGTGGAATGAACGTCGTAAACCGAGTAGGGAAGCTGTCATTGATTGATCTTGCTGGGTCAGAGAGGGCACTTGCTACAGACCAAAGAACATTAAGATCTCTTGAGGGAGCAAACATAAACAGATCACTACTTGCTCTAAGTAGTTGCATCAATGCCCTTGTGGAAGGAAAGAAGCACATTCCTTATAGGAATTCAAAACTCACACAGCTTCTTAAGGACTCATTAGGAGGAGCTTGTAACACTGTGATGATTGCAAATATTAGCCCAAGCAACTTATCATTTGGTGAAACCCAAAATACACTTCATTGGGCTGATCGTGCTAAAGAGATCAGAACTAAGGTTTGACCAACAGACTTGTTCTTTACTTATAATTCATCATAAACTTTTGAAGGATTGCATCATAAACATGGCAAAAGATCAAACTTTCCATTAGAAATGATTTGACTTGATCACTGAATGCAGATTGCAGAGGCAAATGAGGAGATAATGATGAAGGTACCCGAATCTGAATCAGACCAGGCTAAACTATTGCTCGAATTGCAGAAGGAAAATCGAGAATTGCGCGTGCAGTTGGTTCGTCAGCAACAGAAGTTACTAACCTTACAGGCGCAATCCCTGGCTGCGGTCGCTTCATCAACCCCGTCTTCAGCCACATCTCTTCTAACTCCTCCAACATCAGTCCACCAAAATGAGAGACGAAAACCAAGATCCTCCTTCTTAAATGGGAACTGTTTTACACCAGAATCTAGAAAGAAGGGAGCAGAGGAAGCGGTTCGAGAGCTTCGCCGCACAGTGAAACAATTAGAAGCAGAGCTTGAGAAGACGAAGAAAGAGCACATTGTGGAGTTAAAGCACAAAGATGATCTTATTAATGAACTCTTGAAGAAGGGCGAAAAAGCAACAGGGACAAGAAGCAGCTTAAGACCAAAGGAACCAAGCGTAGGTGAGCTGAAGAGCCCAAGCCACCGTTTCAAATCACCAGCTCCAACAGCTAAAAA